GCGCAACGCTGTGATAAAAATTCGTCGCGCCAAGAAATGGCCGAAATACTCTTGGAGCTCCCGTCGTCTCTTTCTCTCTCTCTTGAGAGAGAGAGAGAGAGAGCTTCGTCGCGGGGAAGCTGCTGCTTGAAAATCTCGCTCAACGAGAGAATAACTAGCGTTCGCTTGCAATTAACGCGGTGCAGCGGCCGATCGGCGCGCTGAGACATTCCGACACAGTCGCACCTCAGGATCTTGTTTCTGCATATTACGTAACTCGAAACTACTGCATTCCTGATCGTTTCCACACGAATTTTCAGCTTCTCGCCCGCGGAATAGCGAATCGAAGTACGTACGCACGCATACACGTGCACTCAACTCTGACCTTTACCTTCGTCTTCTGCTTCAGGAACTTCGTGATCTTGGCGATCGGATTCGGCATCTTCGGCTTCGGCATTTTCGCCTCCCGACGGGTTACCTTCGACGAGCGCTTAAAAATCGCGGCCGACCGCTTCTCCCCGCGCGTATCTCGACAACACCGCAAAGACGATTCCCCGATCTCTCTCCTTTTCTTTCTCCCGATATCTCGCGAAACGCGAGGATCGCGTTTACATGATGCTTTTACACTCGACAATCGTGCTCGCTCGACTGGCGCGAAGTGCCTCCCCCCCTCCCGCCCCGGGAGGAACGAAGAGCAACAGGCGACGAGCCGCGGCGAAATAGCGCGACCCAATTCCACCTTCCGGAATATAAACACGACGGCTCCTTCTCGAGCGTTTCACAGTGGGCGCACTACTAATCAGCCTCTACTAACACTGCTCCTTAACACACTGGTTCGAGTTAATTAGAGCGATCGTTCTCAAAACGGCGTTAAAGCGTCGAAACGTGACCCGAAGCGAGCGCACGTTTCAAATCGCATTATCTAATCCATCGCCTTTCCCCCTCGCAATTTAATCTTTTCCATCTCCCATTACTCGCTTCGAGTCTCCTGCTCTCTCACACGTAAACACACAGACACACGTACACCGTTAATCAGGCAGCGATGCGAAGCTTCGCTTCGCGAGGACTGAAGCCGCACTGGAGCTTTCGGGGTAAATCTAATACGTTCATATAAGAGTCGCCGAGGAGCGTGAGAGAGGAGGGGAGAAAAAACGAGCGGCGCACATATGCCCCGGCAGACTCTTTCCGAGCGACTGCGCATCCCCGGTCGCGCAGCACATGCCACCGTGCTAGCGGACGTTCTAAATTCTCGCGCGGATGCTCCTCTCGCGAACGCAGAGCGCCCGCTCACTCGCTAACTCCGCGATCCCGCACAGGGAAAAATATCGAAGAAAAGCAATTACTCACTTTATTGTTCTTCTTCTTAAATAACGGTTATCTTGGACGAAAAATCTTTTCCTGATATTGCGCTAAAATGTAGGTACTCGCCCGTACTATTAGAAAAGCTCATCGTCATTCGCTCGGAAGAAGAATTTGTTCTCTTTTCGAGAATATCATAAACTTCATCGAGGAAAAGTTAAACCCGGTTAATTTGAAAAAGCACGCCGAAGTTTGTTTTAATTTAATATTCTTGATCGTAGTACTAAAACTTACTGCGAGATTGGAAATATATTTTGCATAAATTTGATGTGTTTACGATGAATTTGTGACATACGTGTGGAATATATACACTCGTTTCAAGTATTTCATAAGTTTATGTATCCGCAAATGCATCACAAGTCCGTCATGAGAGCGTCAAATTTATTGAAAATATACTCTCAATTCTAGTAGATTTAATACATCAATCAAAAATTTAAATTTCCTTTGATAAAGTTTACAATGTTTTTCAAAAGAGAACAAATACTTCTTTTGAGTAAATGATAATTAACCTTTTTAATATTTATGATGAATATATCTTAATACTAATGTCATACGAATATTCTTCGTACAAGATAATCAGTACTTGAAAGGAGAAAAATAAACTGAGTAATTGCCTTTTTTCGCAGTAATATTTTCCCCTGTGTGAGCTCTATTCGGCGAAATGTGGGAAACGCAAAACTGCGTATTCGACGCGAGCAAATTGTAGCCTGGAACTCGAAGAGAAGTTTTAATTTAAAAATTCCCCCCGAAGAGAAAGTGAGGGGAGGGCGGAAGGTAGACGCAGAGTGTGTGTGAGTCGCAAGTTATTTGTAAATTCAAATCGGCTTCATAAGCCGAGAGAGTCCTTTTCTATAAACGACGTTCGCCACCGCGCGGAAAATTTCGCGCGAGCCGTTTCAGACGAAATCCGACCGCGGACGCGATTTTTGCGGATTGCGCTTTCGCCGCGCGATAAACACCGCGTAAAATCCGAAAATAAACGAAGGCGTATTCGCGTGGCTCGGGATATCTGATCGTTTATTCTCGAACGATCTCGGCTGGAAAATATATATTCAAAGATAAGAAATTCATCTGCGACTGCAAGTGCCTATAAATAGTTCGCCTTCGTCGCAAGAAACTGTGTCGGTAATAATTAAGAGCGATATTTCAAAAAATTTACGATCGGCATTCCTCCGCGGGTACGCTCTCTCGCGATTTCGCATTTTTCGCGCGAAATTTCTCTTACCCGAAACAATCGATATCTGATTACGCTCATCAACATACGCCGTAATCTCTTCTCGACTACCGGCTCCGCACTCGATAAGACGTTTATTTATTTATCTTCCTTCGCGAAATCGCACTTCATTAACCCGATTCACTTTTCGCCTCTTCCACGAAACGTCCCGCTTTACCATCACAACGGTGCGCCTTTGCCGCGTGAAAAACAGGATAATTTACGAGAAAATTAGTACGAATCGCACTTTTAACTTTACACACACACACATATACCGCGTTATTGTTGTTGTTATAAAAAGAAAAGAAGAAGAAACGAGCACGTAGACAAGTCCTTCCGAGAAACGTTCCTCGCCGCATCTGTGCCAATTTGCACCGACTGTGTCAATTCTCATTCATAATGCAACGCCATTGTGCAATGGCCAACCAGTTCATAGAGTATGACTTCTGACACACATTGATCTATATTGTCGGATGTTTACATAATGCGGCATACACGCGGCGCATTATTATGCGCAAGAACGTACGCAAACTCCGCTCGTTCCGTAAGTCGGAACGACGGCGATATCGCTCGCGGAGAGTTTCTACGAGCAGCAAAACCGTGTCCGCGAAGTCTCTTAATAACAATAATAATAATAATTCAGAAATCAAGTTCCATCGACGTCAGATGATTGTCGGAAGCCGCATACGATGCCGCGTGCTTTTTGCTTTGTCACCTACGCTTTGTCTACGCGCGATCGAGTGCTATTACCATTTTTTTCATTCACATCGGAAAACACGCAAAAACGCAACGATGTGTCTCTTCGTGCCTCGTCTCGAGATCGATAACACCCGTTGTCTTCGGTTCACGGCCTCGACTTTCGCGTGGAAAACGTGATTTCTGCGGCGTTTATTAACGTTCGATCGGACGATCGTGGGGCGGATGGTGATCCGCGGGAAGTCGTGGCGAAACGGGAACTGCTCCGATAGAGACGCAGATGTTGAGAGAGACGGTAAGTAATGTGAATACACGGTAAAAAAAAAAAAAGGGAAGAAGAAGAAGAAGAAGAGCGAGAGAGAAGGCACACTGTACATGCGCGAGTCAGAGAGGAGGAGAGCACCGAGAATGAAGTGCATGCTGCACATCCATCTAAGTTCTAATTGAGAATATNGGGGGGGGGACACAGATGGTGCATGCAGCCTGTTTCCTAGAGCCCCTATAATAAGACTCCGGGAACCGTTTCTCTGTAGCTCGGCCATGTTTGGGTTAAAACCGAAAACTCATTGTAATGTACGAAATGTTCCACTATTATTAAAATAAGTGCCAAACCAAAATACTTCTTTTTGATGACTCGGTAATAATTTCTCGTATGTATGTGTGACACAAAGAAAAAATTTTCCTTTCAGCATAATAGAATTATTTTTAAAATGGAACTCATCAGAATGAAAATGGAATTCATTTCTGATCGAGTATAAGTGCTTTATTCATGAAGATAATGAAACCACGAGTTATATCAAGCATTAAATACAAACTAATGAAAATCAAATAGAATAACGTCCTTTTCGACTCGTTATCATATTTGCTGCAATAGAGGTTACATTTAAATACCATCTACTATATCAAGAAATCGTATAATTTGTACAAACATCATTATGCATTTACCTGTTTAATTTTGGCTAAAATCTATCAAGCGCAATAGGAAATACACCAACTCGCTTTTAACACACTTCGTAGGCTTCATAGATGACAAATCTTTGCATGTCGTCACTCGGCTGATAACTCGGACAATCCAGCCGGAAGCTTACCCAAATATAGCCAGTCGGAAATCAGAGATACGGCGTTCAGACTCTTATTATAGAGACTCTAGTTTCCGGTGGTGTGCGCGATCGGTATCGGGACAGTAGAAATGAACCTAACGGAAATCGACAGAGCCGATTCGAAGGAAGCCCGCACGAGAGAAGAGAGTTCAATCGTTCGCACGTCGAACGCGCTGAACGGGCCCGAATTAAAGATTCCGCGAGGGAACATCATACGTACACATCAATACACGAAACTCGGTCGTGAGAACGCGAGAATATGAGACAAAGAGGGAGAGAGAATGTGTATGTTTAGTAGCGACAGTCTCGAAAAGGAGTTCTCTACTATCCCGCGGGAGCTAAAACGCACTAAGAGTGTGTCGGATGCACCGCGACGTGGGCCATCGAAGCGGGCAAAAAGCGGCTTTGGTGTGGTGGCCGGCAGCTAAAGTAATAAAACACAAAACGGTAAAGGCACGGCCGCAAAAAACATCGCGTGACAAAAACGTGGGGTGCACCCTAAGAGATCTAAACGAGGTCTAGGGTGCGGCGGTGTTATCTAATAGAGGTGCATTGTTCAACATCGAGCAATTAGGGTGCCTATGTAGTAGTACATATATAGAGATGCGTCATCGAGATCACCGAGAGGAAGGAGGGAGCGTATATATCGATACCTCCGAATCCTGGATCTGCTCGGAATCGGCCGACGTGCTCGAGGTCTTCAGGATGCTGTAGAGCTTTACGTAGGGGGCCTTGATCAGCTGTCAGCCAATACAATCGGCCGTGTTTAGCAAGTCTCCTGGTCGCGACCGGTCTAACCGTTCGATCCTCGCGTCGACCGGCCGATAAAGGCGTTTTCGCGTTTTCGCGTTTTCGCGTTTGAAGGCGAGTTCGAATAACCGAGAGAGGCAGGGGCTCCGAACTTTGACGTTATTATCGGTAACGCTAGACGCCAGCGCGTGCGAGAATATCCGTGCAAACGGCGCACTCTCGTCGGTCGACGCGAGGATCGGGTCGTCAGTAAAATACACAGGATCCGTTTGTCGCAAATGTCGCACGGGGAGAGAGATCGGCGCGAAATCGGCGGCGAATGGCGATCTCTCTCCCTCCGGTGGATCCAACGCGAGGAGCAAAAACGACGAGAAGGTCGAGATCAATGACGGAGATGCGTTCCCCGTTATCGTCGTTGAATCGCGCGATCTTCTCGGACTGTTCAGTGAAATATCGACGGGGAAAAGCAGACATGCTGATCGGGGATTTAGCTTTCCACGGTCGTCCTCAATTTCGCGCAATTTCCGAGCGCGTCGCCGAAGAATCGCGGAAGAGCTGACGCTCCCCCGTCACTGATCGTAGTTTTCGGCGATATCCCGTTAACAAATGGCGTACGAATGATCCGGGTACTCACCTCCCAGGACTCCCTCGTCAGCTCTGTGATCTCGTCGCCGTCGTGGCCGCGAGTCTTGCCCTCCTCCGTAGAATCCGCGCCCTCACCGGCCTCATGAGGGGACAGTTCCGGCGACAGGTCGGTGTCGGTGTCGGACAGGATGTAGCCTCGCTCCCGCCAGTAATTCTCGTCGAGCTCGCCGTAGAGCGTCGGCACCCACGCGTGAATGAACCTGTACAGGTCGTCCACTCTGTCGAGGACACAGAAAGAAAAATGCGCACACGTCAGTGATGCACGTGAAAGAAAACGCAAAAATAGGACGCAACTCGCGACCGGAGATCTCGACTCGGCTGCGAGTCGCGTCACGGAAAGCTGCGTTCACCTGCGCCGCACGAAGGGCATCACGTTCGCCGCCGTCGTTCTCACGTGCCGTTCGTAGACCAGGTTGAGCATACCGCCGAACGCGTTCATCGTCCAATTCATCGTGATCGGCCGAAGATGTTAAAAAAAGTACGGGAAGAACGAAGGGTTCGAGCGAGACACGTCTGACGGCGATGTCGACGCGCACCAGCGACTCAGAACGACGACGTATCAGCTGTGGCGTAACGGAACACGTATTATCTAACTCGATGCGCGCTATCAGCACACGGGCCTGTCTCTAACCTCCCAACGACTCCGGCCACCTGCGCGTCGTCCACGATCGTGCGTATTTTCGCCGGCGAAAATCTACCTTTCTCGCGCGAGAAATTCCCGCCTCTGACGGAATATCGCGCTCGAAACACACTCGGGGAAACGCGTATTTTCACGCGTCAAAACGGACGGAAGGCACCGCCAACAGCTACGTCGACGCGTCGGAAGCGACTCGCGTCACGTGCTGATTCGCTCGGTACACCTGCACTTAACATATCGCCGCGAAACGCAGGTAGACTCGCGGCTGATCCCACGCGACTCGCGCCGATCGTGCATTTCGCGCGCGCGTCTTGACCTTTTTCCACCGTCCTGACTATCGGACGCAGGCTTGCATTGTAAAACCGTCCGATAAACGCGCAATCCGTTCCCACCTGTGTTCGGTATTGTCGTGTGTTCGAAAGAGAAATACGACCGTAAGCGAGAGAGAGAGATAAGAATTCATACTAAAACGCCAGGTAACAACTCGATATTGCAATAGGTCGATAATTCTATCCTCTTGAAATATTACGTTCTCAAGTGAACTTGGCGTACGCGGGTCAAATTGACCCGTAACAGACGGACAATGAAGATAGGATTTGGTATTAATTGCCATCATTGATTTGGATAAATAGTTCCAACTAAATTATCTGATTACTGCAACCAAATCATTTGATACTACGTACTATATATTAGGTTGGTGCGTATGAAATGTCGCATTCTCTTTACATGCGGACGTTTTCCTCCCTGTTTTCGTTATACTTTTGTATTTGGCATAACCTCATTCATACTCGTATTGTCCATTGCCAGAGACTCATTTCAACAAAATAGGTTTTCTCGAAGGTCTTCCCTTTTTTATTTCTTTTGAGTTTATTACCGATATGAATTCTGCCGACATTCGCGTCATTTTCTTATATGAGTACAAACTTGGTAATAGTGCTGCAAAAGCTGCACGCAACATAAACCAAGCGTTTGGGGAGAATACGGTTAACAATCGGAAAGTGCAGCGTTGGTTCGAAAAATTTCGGACTGGCGATTTTTCACTGCAAAATGAGCCGCGCGGAAGACCCAAAACGTCTGTGAATAATGATGACCTGAAGGCTCTAGTGGAAGCGGATCCAGCCGTATCCACGAGGGAACTTGCTATCAGGATGAAAGTTGACCATACAACGATATTGAGACACCAAATTGTACTCCCATCGCTTGTGAATCGGCATGGCCCGCTACTGCTCCATGACAACGCTCGGCCGCACACATCGCACAAAACAATTGCGAAACTGAACGAACTGGAATATGAAGTTTTGCAGCATCCACCATATTCACCGGATCTCTCGCCGACCGATTTTCATTTTTTCAAGCATTTAGAGCTGTTTTTAAGAGGCAAACACCATGAAAATGAAGACAGTCTAAAAAACTCGATATCAGAGTTTATTAATTCTAAAGACCAAAATTTTTTTAAGACAGGCATCTACGCTTTAAAATCTCGTTGGGAGAAGTGTATTGAAGCGAATGGAGCATACTTTGATTGAATAAACAGCTTTTGAAGAAAGATATACAGTTTTATACAATCACTTAAGAATCCGACATTTCATATGCACCAACCTAATATATAACAGTATATGGTACCATAACTGGTCGCAACGAGCAAACAAAGTTCGGTTTAACCTATTCAACCAAATCTTGGCAATTGTTATCAAATCCCTTAGAAGGGATTCCCTTAAAATAATAGGCGTGACGCGAAATAGGTTAATTAACTCCCGTCCGCTTCGGTCATCGCTAGGCCGACGCGTTGATCTCGACGATCCCGTGACAAATTGCGGGGCCGCTAATGAGGCTTCTATTTTCGGCGACTTCGTGATCAATCGATGATGCAAGAACGTTCATCTAGAACGCAGATTCGTACACGTGAAAACGACGGAGATTGTCCCTCCCGACGGATCTCTCCAAACGATCTTGATCTTGAATTATTTGCTCGATACGATCGCAATACCGCGAACCGGCCGCGATAGTCTCCGTGGCGAGCAAACGGCCGCCGAAAAAAAGCGAGCGAGATTTACACGATGATATCACGATGTGTTCATCGCGTGGTGATCGACCGACCTGAAATTCCGCGAATCGGAATCGATATCTCGGATTGAACGGCCGCCTTCGGGTCTTCACCGCAAACGAGCGTCCCTTTCCCCGACATGAAAATAAAAAATATTGCATCCGTGTTTTGTACACACACACACACTAACGCGGAACGCGATAAGCAACCGATATCAAATTATGCGTCGCTCCTCCCCGCGCAGAAGCGCGATTGCGATGTTTCTCTTAGTTTTTATATTCGGTTGCGCGCTCGACGACGATTCAACGATGTTATGTCTGGCGCAATGAAAAGGGTACTCTCGTTATTTCGTCACTCTGCTGATTCCTCAATACATCCGCGAGTCCGAAGGAAGCAAAACATACCGGCGGCGCGGTAAACCTTGATCGAGCATCGGCGCGCGTATAAATAGAAGATCCGGCGCGGCAGAGGCGAAAATCTATTTTGCGATTCCCCCGCGACCAGGCACGTGTCCGGTCGTAATGTTCTCAATGCCCCCCTCTCCCCTCACACTCGCGGATGTGTGCGCACGCCGCGACCGCGTACACAAAAATAACACGGAGCGTTTTCGCACGAAGGGAATTCGCCTTTCCATTCGACGGGAGAGAAAAAAAAAAGGAGAGAAGGAAAAAACGTCACCGGCGAATATTTATTCTGGCACGACCGGACGATTGACTTATCGCGGACAACGCGGCGCCCGTTGCTTTTTTTCTCCTCCCCGACGAGAACTCGTTAGCCGTTAAGAAAAACAACGAATTCTCGTGTGTAAAAATACGGATTTCAGGAATGCGCCGAATTCCGCGAAGAGCGCGATCCCCCCCCCCCCCCTCTCCGCCGCTCACGCGCGTGCAACCTCGGCGATCTTGAAGCGAGGAGAGCAATAGGGGAAATCGAAATCACACCGAAGACCTTGTTTCTCGCCGACTGCGAGTTTTTAGATTGAAACTGAAGCTACACATCAAGTGTACACAGACTAGTAGGGTGATCAAATTTGTGCCGATTTTTCACTTAACGAAAAATAAATAATACAAAATATGATAAATATAATAAATTGTATTAGAACTGATTGACCCTGTTAAATCTGCGAGCACCGCCAATAGGCGTAAGATGAAAAGTCCTTGCCGTATACAAACAGCATCTAACGTCCGACGCTGACTTTATTCTCATCGAAGTTATTTAGTTCAAACATAATAGAAAACTATAGTGATTGTTTGATCTCGATATAATAATATAATAATGACTACAAATTTTCTTTATTTACCTACGATTACCTAATTCATTTTTATTAAAAGTCCCGATTCTCTAATCTTGACATCTCGTAATTAACTAGTCAAGAATTGGTCATCCTAGAGACAAGAAGTCTCTAGAGACAAGAAGCTTTGGGTAAAAATAAGTTCATTCGGTCGATTATATAATTACTTTGATCTCTGAGCTTGTATTCACGGTGTACTCCGGAAAATAAGGGACACTTGGAACGATTTGCGGCACGCGAGACAAGTTGAAAAATTGGGACGTGAAAATGCGCACGGCACTTTTCAGAGCAGGTGGTGACTCGGCGCACGTACGTTACGTATCATCGCGTCGCCCTGGACTTTTCGCAATGCGTTCTCGGGGGAGTTATCGCGGTATGCTATTGCGCGCAAGGTCTATTGCAATGTGAAAAGCGCTTACCTGTTGCGCGGCACGCTGAACCAGTATTCGGGACGCAGCTTCTTCTTTCCGTAGCTCATGATCGGCGTAGATCGCGGTATCTTCTTGTCCTTCGGTCTGCCCGTACGTAGTCTCAGGTACAACGGTGGGTCTTCGCAGGAACGCGCCGGTCGTGGGATCAGTTCTGTGTAATGCAGAAGAGGCACGTTAGCGTCGGATCAGCTCGATCGAATGAAGCTGTTATAGTCTCGACGGATTTTTCTCTCTTTAGATTCGATATATAATAATACGTATCTAATCCACGCGCGAGATAGGTAGGATTTACGATTTCGTTATAATAAACAGGTCTCTTTATAATAAGAAGCTCTCTCTCTCTCTCTTTCTCTCTCTCGCACACTCACTTCGGACTGTTCCCCGCATTCCTTCAACAACTACTCAAGTCACACGTAAACACACACAGAGAAACAGATCAAAAACACGTATATAAGTTGGAAAACGAGGCAAGCACATTATCATAAAAAAGAGTGAGTAGTAGTAGAGTGTCAGAGTAAGAATTATCATGTGAAAAGAATAACGATAACAATGACGACAGGTGTAATAATAATAATAACAATAATAATAGTAGTAGTAAAAATAATAATATTAGTAGTTTAATAGTACCAGACATACTGTGGGAGAATTCGACAGAATGCACGTGCAGCAAGAAATCGTGATGAAATCGAAATAACCATCGCAGCGGCACGGTGTATACAGATCGCCCGCAGATAGTTGCGCAAATCATGTTTAATGCATGGCAATAAAAATTAGGAGCAGACAGAAATAACGTCAGACACGATCGAGAGAAGACGCGTAAAAATAGAAGGAAGGAAGGAAAGAAAGAAAGAAAGAGAGGCGAACGAAAAATAGGGAATTCGTGGCACAAGGAGAGAAGAGCAAGCTAATACTGTATGAACCTACCCAGGCCTTCGAGTTCGGGAAAATTAGGTGCTTGGACTAGAGGGACAACAGAAACAAATGACATTACTGCATTAGTATGAACCTATTGCTAGCCAAATGATGAAACCCGTTGTGCTAATCTGAAATAGATAAAACATTACTGGAGAGAAAGATAGAAGGATGACTGAGCGATCTATGCGGAAAACAGATATTACTACTGGTATCCGTAACGATCGAACGTTCGGAGACGCGGCTGGACGACGAAACGATCGTTCGGCCGTTACGGACGAGATTAATAATACACGTGAAATTCGAAAGAGTTCGAATACGAGTATTAAAGTGGCAAGAAGTCGTTTAAAACGAGACGCGCGCTCGTCGCATGCAATCGAAACTGACGGCGCAGCGGCACAAAGGGTTTCAAGATTCTGCAGATGTATTCATATATATTTGTCTTGTGATCGGGAGAACGTATGTTATATAAGTGCTTGTTCAGTTGAATCTCTATATTATGATGCCGTCTGTGGAAATATGTATTTAACGCATCAGTGATATATCAGAATCCAAGCTGAATGATCGGTGACCGTAAAACGATCCACATCGAGGAAAATCTACGTGATACAAACTTACTTTCTCTCTTTCTCTCTCAGATTATACCAGACACATGTCTCGTAGATTGAAGGAAAGCGATAATAGTAAATTCAATGGAGTGATACACGAGCTGATAATGAGAAACAAATACAGTCTAAAACAACGGTAAACTACTTTAAGTGTACAGCGAGATAAGCGCATTTGGTTACCGAGAGTCCCGGTAAAAAGGTACCTGGCGACATACGAAACGAGGAAAATATGAAATTTAGAAATCGTGAGAGAGATCACCCCTCCCACGCTGCCATCTCATCCTCAGTAATTTATAGCCAAAGGCGCTCGAGATTCTACGAGAGTGGGACAATAAAGTTGCAAAACAACACCGTTTAAAAAGCTGTCTATATGCGTATATCGGGCAAGTGCAGTGCGTGATGTATATATCCCGTTTGCTTTTTATCGTCGCTCGTGTGAGTTCTTCCCAGCCGAATGTATCATCGATATTACGAATGTCGTTAACGTATCAACCGTGACGGTGTGTGCGATGATACAGTGTGTTGGAGTGATAATAATGTCTTCACGATTCATTAGACTGTCCATTCCGATGAGAACATGAAGTATGTATACGGAGCTCGGTGCGATCGCGATACTTACTGTCGAAACTCACAAACAGCTCCGGCATATCATCGACCGAGACCATGCTGCGGTAGTCCAGTCGCGGTGCCGTCGTCGAGGTCTTGCTACCTCGACTGCTGTCGACGCTGCTGCTGCCGGAGGACGTCAAGGGTTGCTGTCTGATGAAAGTACCTACGGAGGAGCGCCTGAAAGAATATTTACGAATAAGTGACTATAGTGCGAAAGGAAAGAGTGAAACAACATTCCAGAACGCCTCCGAACGACAAGTACGTGTTGATTAGCTGTCTCGTTGAAATGCGCAAACACTTATCGCACGTACTCGTGGTTCAGAAGCGACGTGTGTAATAACACATTGATAACAAGAATATAACGGGGGATTAACAATCAAGGCGTATCCGGTATACACGGTGAAATAAATCATTTAGCTGCTGAGAGGGAAGAGGGGGAAAGGGGGAGAGTACTAAACATTGTGTTAAATTGATCGTGTGTTGGCTGTAAGCGGTCTGGAGAGTAGTATCGGCAGTGTCTATAACCTGATCGATCTTTCAGCAAATAGTACGATTTACCTGAGAGCAGGAGCCTCAATCCCAGAGTGTCGTGATAATAATAAAACGATAACAGCGAAAACAATGGGAGAGTGTACGGGAGGTAGAAGCGTTTGAATTGTAGAATCCTCCGGGTACGATTTTGTATTGAAATTCGATCATTTGAAATTCATTCGTGTGGTTACGTACACTTAGCCATGCGAAACTTCACACATTCACGGTCTTAATTAAATACTGACAACCGGCGACAATTACAACGTGTGTGAGAGGATTCTACCGAAATAAAACGTCCACGAAACAGTAAGTACAGAAACGGATGAAGAGTAAAGATGAGAAACCAGTCGGGTGAAAAACAGTGGGAGAAAGGGGGGATACGGGGAAAGGGGATACAACAATGTAGGGTCACGATCGGGTCCAGACTCACCCGATGAGGCCTCCCGGACCAGGTGAGAACTGAGGATTGCTGGAGTCCTGGGAGAGAGAGGAGGCGGTGAGCGGAGGAGTTCCGCCCGCTCTACCGCCCCCGCCACTCTCTTCGCTGGGGGTTTTAGCAAACAGGCCCGAGCTAAAGTCACTCACCAGGTTGATCGGCGAGCTTTTATCCACCACCATTACATATTTCTTTGTTAGTTACATCAGAAATGACATTAAAGCGTTAGTGAGGTCTAAACTTGTAAACGCAAGCGCGACGTTAAGGCGCGACACAAAGATCACCCAACTTTTAAACATCGCGATCGGTCGTGAGCGACAGCTAAGAATTCTCGAGAACGGCAATTGGACCGGTTAAATCACTCCCACGTGTACCCCTCTCGTATCCCGCAACGATTCTCATACGCAAGAAGCCACTCTCACTCTACGCAAGTAGCTAATGTACGCTAAGTTACAACAAATGAGGCTACACCGGAAGGTTCCATGATAACATACTTATTCAAGTTGCGACTTCGTGACGCAACGGTAATTAACAATGATGCGCAGTTGTTCACGGATAACCTCATTTGTACTCTGTGTTCTCTAAAAGTCAGCGAAAAGCAAATGATAAATAAAAGTTACGTCACACAAAATAAGAGACGAACGAGACCGCGTCTCCTCGCATGTGTGCGAAACCCTTGCGCGTTTGCTCATTCTCGACGCAGACAAATAGAAAGAACGAAGAATATAGAAGCGTTTGTGAAAATCATACGTCACATAATACTGAGAAGGTAACTCTCGAACGCACTAGGTGTCGCAGAGAATCGCGCGAGTCGCGACGTGACATAAATTTGTTCACCTTGAGAAAACCTTGCTGAAGACGGAAGAGTGATGGGAATCCGCGCTGTTCGGCAGGCTCGACACCTTGTCGGAAATGGATTTGCTCTCGTCCTCTTTCTCGCCGGTTAAACCCTCCATCCAGGACAACGGGTACGAGAGGCGTTTCAGCATCTGAATGTTAGGACGGAGATGTTTCACGTAGGTAACATCGGCATGGCGGAATGTTACGAGCTTAAACACACACCTTGTTCCTCCGCGTTTCCTGTTTATCGTCCTCCTTGTGCTCCTCGTCCTTCTCTTGCTCTTCCGCGTTGCTCTCTAAGCTAAAGGACACCGAGCTGGCCTTTTTCCTGCCGTTAATAACGGAGCCTGTCTCCAACGAGCTCGTGATGTTCGTCGGCGCTATCGTTATCGGCGGTACCCAGTCGGAAGATAAGACAATATCCGCGTCTGAATACACCTTTTTCGACGGCATAGGCTGCACTATCGGAATAGGTGGATTGGGCTCGCGGATATCGATACCGGAATCATGGCACGACAATTTGACTAGAGATCCTTCTTCGTCCTCGGGAATGGCGTTTGATTTCGCTGGCTCCGCCTGTCCCAACGATTTAACAATATCACTCGCGTGAATTAATCATTTCATGGAATTATACGCGCTGCACCTTCTTTCGTAACAGAAATAATCACCTTATCGGAATTCAGCGAGTCCTGTTGTTCATCATCAACGGAAAATGTGCTTCGATCTTTGCTAGGAACAGCCCAATGATGATCCAGCATGGAGCGTCTACGTTCCTCCAACGTCCTGCTGCCTTGGCCGCCGCTGCAAAACTCCTTCTCGCCGTTATCCTTCTCCTTCTCTTTCTCTTTGGTCGAGGTCTCCTCCTGGTTATTTAGAACGCGAGTTATTTCGTTCGCTCGTTAAAACACACTCGCTTGACGTTGAATGAAATCCGACGTTGCTACGAAAAGATACGTACAGTTTGGAGATTTGTGGGAGTGACGAGTTCACGTTCGAAGGCCTTTGGAAAAGCGTCGCCGTCTCTCTCGGCGCTGCTGCACACGCTCTCACTGTCGTCGCCCGCCAGCTCCGGGAAATTCTCGTCTTTCCCCGGCGACTGGCACTTACGATTATCTACTTGGGGTTTCTTCATGTAGTAAATCTCAGGTTTCTTATCCAGATTGCCGGCCTCGGTATGGGACACTCTCATGTGCGCGATGTCATAGTAAATCGCAGCGTTCACTACAAACTCCATCGGAGCGATCACCCCGTAAGACTCGGCACCGTGCTCGATGACAAGAGGATCTGACACGTTCGGGTCGAACATGACTGCATTTGGCGTAACCAACAGCACACCACCCACCACACCCTGGAAAAATGTTCAGAAGAGATGTCACATGGAAATCTTACATATATCTGAGGAGGATGCCAGAAGGACGTGTCGTAAATAGAGGGACAGAAAATTCGAGTGATACCAGTTGAAAACAACCATAGGTTCATACAGAATGGCATAAAATCAATAATATGTATGATCATGTATTACCGGGGACAGAAGGAATGTAACTTTGGGCACAATCAGGTTCTTCACTTTCAATGTCCCTTGGTATATAAAACACACAAGAGAGGCATTACCTGGCCATCTGTGATGTGCCGGACGTTTATTTTGAGGAATCTTTCTCTAAACGGCTGTTCATCCTCCTCTGTAGTTACACTGGAAGTCCCAAGAGGCGTTTTTATACGCTCCATATGGCCCGGTTTCGGTGACACAGGTCTCAGATTGTCCAGGAGCTCTGCAAAAGAATTCGCACGACATCAGAGGAAGAGACCACGGGCAGGATGGGACCGCGTTATAAAACCACTTATACGTACGCTGCTGTATTTATTATAGCATAAAAAAGTCAGAATGATCTTTCCCGAGGATCCCCGACGGCTTCGCATTTCTCGATCGTGTCGCCCGCGACAGCACGAAATAACTATGACAATAGGCACTTCATTTGAATCTTTATCACTTTCAGGCAGGCGAGCGCTGATAATGATCTTGATTCAAAGTCTCGTGATGTTTAAAACGGCGGACGATACACAGCTCGGTTATCTAATGGCGCTTTCCGGAAGGCTTGTAAGCCGTCTGACGCTTATTTACATCCCACTCGTGCGCAACACACGTCAGTGGCAGTCGACCTAACCTCACACCGAGAAAATTCCGATGACTCGTTATTCGTCGACGCGCATGCATGTGCAATTGCGACGAAATCAGTAATCTCGTCGGAGTTTCATCTCTGCCACAGCTGTTACATGGCAACGGAGCCGGGGTTAGGTTAGCTTGGCGCGTACCCATATTTAAAGCGCGCTTTGCGTCGATCAGCTGACGGTATACCGGGTGGCCCGAACGGGATGTTTTCTTACTCATCACGAGCGCAACGATGATCGGATAGAGCGGCGAACGAACGCGAGTGATCCGAAACGACTGAGAGGGAAAATGAAACCTGTTTCGGGCCGCTCGACTGATTTTCCACGACGAGCGCGCCTCGTCTGTTTCGCAATCTCTTCGAGACTCGTCCGCGGCCGATTTATGTACGAGAATATCGCGCCAGCTGTCTGTTGCGCTCTCTTTCTACAATCGACAATACGAAGCGTAATGAATTATAAGCGAAAAGCGATAAAGGAAGAAACGTACAGGATGTTGCAAAACTACCGGGATCTCCCCCGACGAGAGCTTCAGGCATCGTGCTCCTCTTGTGTGTGTGGCAAAGTTCTCACATACGTAACTATGTATCATTTGTACAGAAACTTGTTGAAGTTACCTTCGCGGTGAAATTGCGTTTTCCGCGACGGACGCCGTGCGGGCCATTCTAGCCGCATATTGCAAAAGATGTAAGTCCACGAAAGACGCCGCTCGCCATCGACATCGTCCTCCTCTTCCCCGCGTGTCGACATTGTGACGACGTGTATACTTGCGCTCCTCCGCGAATATTGCGATCGCGTGCATGATACGCGCGACTAACGCGACGACGACGAACGGCCGCTCGCGAAGAGAAGACACAAATAAACTTCAAGTTTGAGCAAGTGTGCATAACAATCCGTTCGGCTATTGTCCCGCTAAACGGCCGACTGGCGTCCGTGAGTCACGAATATTGTGTAACGTTCGAGAACCGAGTATTTTCGGCACGTAAGCGTTAATATTCCTTTCGCGTGGACGTACCGTGCGGAAATTAATTGGCTATCATTCGCGAATAATCGGGGGAACCGTCTCGCCGGAAATTAGATAGATTTCTTAGGAGTCGTGTATCATGACTATTAACGCGAAGCATGCATTACAAATAGACGTACGATACACGAGATACAATGTGGAAAGAAAATATTGAGCATCAACGGCTCTGCTTGGTCTCACCGGAGGAGAACAATTAGACCCATTAAAAGGCCTTAACACGGATGTTCTAGTGCCATTTGAATATTAATGTATACAGTAAAAAGACATTTTGTATTCGTGTGAAAAAAAATAGGTCCTTGTTGAAATTTTTATATTAAGTCTTTAACATACCCGTGCGTTAATTTAACACATTGTGTTTAGGTTATCTCTATATTTTTTTATGTTGTGTCGATATTCAACATGTGTAAGTAAAAGTGTGTTAAAGTAACACATTTTACACTTCAAAGTCGATTAATTTTGTGTCAATTTTGGATATTTGTGCTCTTTTTCAACATCCACGGGTATTCTATTTTCTATTTTTCAACATCCACAGGTATTCTATCTTATATTCGAAAACACCTGTATAATCGAGCTGAAGTCTGCGAACGTTCGCCAATATTTAGATCTGATTACCTATTCATGTCTATACATCGCACTAATACTTTCCATAAATCCTTTTTAATTATAGGCATTACGAACTGGAACTCGTTGCCTTCGGCATTTAAAAATGTATCGCTGGCATCATTTAAATAATCCAGCTTTAGCTACTATATGAAACTGCAGAGTGCGGGGACCCCCTCAGGCTCCTTCTCATCCTCGTTTTATTCTGCGCCTTAATTCATTATTACATCATCCTTGTCTACGGTACTTCATTTATATTCATTCATATCACCTACGATACATCGACATGATATATCATCAATCAATTTATGATACTTCATTAGCATTTTCCTTCATTTTTCTGATCTTTTTCTTATTCTTTCCGTTCCGCGAGGATTGTCCATATCTTTAGAGCACTAGTTCTTTCTAGTTAACTTCTTCCACAAGATTTTCGACCGACCGGTCTTTTTAACATTCACCTTGAGCGAAAGTACGATAACTTCCGAACGATCCGACGCGGTTTCGTCACGCGGACTCAGGGCGAGGCACGACGAGTCCGCCGAACATTATCTTGATTAGTTCGCGCCAACGTAACGTCGACGAGCGAACGCCTCGACTATCAACCTCCACCTCCAACCTCCAATAATTGACAGGTGTGCGTGGGATTCCACGTGCCGAGACGACGACGACGACGGGCAAACAACGTGAAAAAAACGCTCGTGTTAGTCACAATGGCATTACTGTATCGACCTCTCTCTTTCTCTTCTTCTTCCCCCGGAGACAACACGTAACGCGGCGTGACGGCGCATTAATATTCATTCGTGGCGGCCGACTTTGTACACAGTCAGATAATATCGATATCCCAATTCTTTTCGGGATATGTTTAGTCAGGTGAGCCAATCTAGCGCAGCACCGCACGCCCGGGCGTAGCTCAGCCGCTCCGCAGAGACTTGCATTATTCATGCCGCGCGTATTAAATCTGTCTTGCGCGTTAGCATAATGCGCAACAGGATACAGGACCTCCGGGCAACGTTGTCGGCGTCCTCGTAGTCGTCGCTGCCGCCATTGTCGTCGTTGTCACCGTCGCACGGATCGAAGAAACGGAATCGGTCGGAGCCGAATCGCCAATAAGAATAAAATCGCGCACGTTGAATGCGCGCGTGCTCTCTCTCTCTCTCTCGCCCCCGGTGCGCGTTACGTGTCGCAAGAAGAAAAACACGTCCTTCGGCGGATTCCGCTTTCTTGGCCGGCTTGTGTCAGTCCTCCGCAGAGACTTCAAAGCGTTTCAGCGTGGCCGCACGTGTTATACGAGCGGACGTATTCGCACGGCCAATAAACAAGTGCAATAATCCCCAGTCGAGATTTATTGCGGTCTATGTAACGGTCCCACGAAAAATAGTCATTTTAACAAGCGATGGGACACGTGGCCCGCTGATGCGAGAGCCGATTTTACTTAGCCTTGGCAGTCGACGCGCAGAATCGCCGTCCGCTGTTTCTGTTACCTCCCGTAAGGGTCCGACGATAAGCGGGACAAATAGTCGAGTTGACGGCGAATTTATTCCGATTATTCGCTCCTCGACGATTCGTTACGATCACAGCGAGCGAATGTGTCATCTCGTAAGATTTTGCCCCCTTCGTCATAACAGACGATTACACTCGGAAAAGGAATTAGCTATAGATGTTAAAACAGGGACGGCTAATGTCGTTGTTATTGCAGCTAAATTTGTTAGCTGTTTCCAATCAAGACGTTACAGCAACACAATATAGCCGTACCTTGCAGTAGATGCACTTTACCTTTAATAGTTAATGTCTCTATTTTAGCTGCCATACAAGGAAAGAAGTTTCTCTGGATTTAGTACACGCGTTGCGTTTAACTTGGATTTGTTTAATAGAAATAACATAGGTTAATATCAAATATCGTTTGAATGAAAACGTTTCGTTCGAGTAAACTGTGTTGTTTGATAGAAAAAAAATTGTATTTAGAGGAAATAATATATTTTATTTCCAACGAAAAAATTTATTTCATTATATATTAAACATTATTCTACTGAAACAAAAGAGTTCTCCAATATTTTTCTGACATAGCGTTACTTCTTTCAAATAACTTACTGCTTATGACAGCCATTGTAATGTTTGGATAGAAATATGAAAGGAATATGTCATTTGACGTGAAGATATTTATTATTTAAGAAACCAAGCAATCCTGTCTGTTGGATCAAACATTCATTTGCTCGCTTCAAAGAACGGATTTGCTTGGATTCACAAAATTTTACCAGATCCTCTTCCCTCTCCGTGCACAGCTAAATCTCAGCTGCTTCGGCTAATTCTTTCTCCGAGTGCGTGAGCCGTCTTTGTCTCAAGGAATCCGATACTCGTGAAGGGAGTCTCCGTAACGCGTTGAAACCCGCAAGTGAAATTGAGTAAACGCGGAAGTGAGATTTCGGAGATTGTCAGAACGAGAGCTTCTCCGGCTCGGCGCGGAAGAAGCTTACGTAAAACGACGCGAAGACACTCGAGAAGAATGACGGTTAAGTAAGATGACGCTTAAGAATCACCTTTCTCCTCGGGCGGTAGATCGTCCTGGGACTCGTGGTCGTGGCAAGGATCGGGGCTGGGCGCATCGGTGGCCGGTCCGCCGCCCGGACGTCCCTCCCCTTTCGCTGGCACCCATAATTGCTGGCCGGGATAAATGAAGGTACTTCCGAGCCTGTTCAATTTGCTCAACTCGGACGGCGTCGTATCGAATCTCGCCGCCACTGACGTGAGCGTGTCTCTGTCGCCCACCTGTAATTACGAAGGCAAACACGCGTCATTAAGCGTCAAGAGAATTACTTTCTTCCCGCGCGCAAACACCGACGGGTACCACCCCCGTCAACCCCGCGGCGAGCGTTCGCGGAACTGCGCGACGCGTTTAATCGAATAAATGGCAGAAAACGCCGACGGCGTGCGAATGAAAAACGGGGCGAAATGAATCTCTCGTTACGAGCAAGAGCACGATATCTCGAATAAAGTATAAAATATAAAGCGTGCCCGAAGCGCCCTCGCTGGAGATGACGCAAAGACTCGTAGCGATCCTCGGCTTGCAAGCGTATTACATCGGCCTTACTTAGAAGTGCGCTTTTCCTTCGCTTTCCATCGATACTCATTTTCATCCTCCGCTTCGGCTCGTCCGTGCTAGCGGACGCGTGTATCCACGAGAGAACGCACCCCGTCGCTGCACGAAGTCTCCCCGACGAGGCGCGCGATAAAACCACCGTTAGTCCGCGGGCGCGCACCTGAGCTTTCTCCGCGATTTTCCCGCCGTGTACGCGCACGCGAGTGTGTACGAGACCATTAACCCATTTACATAAGCCGACAGAAATGGCGCGAGAGAGGTATCGGGCGATGGAAAATTGAATTCCTGGAAAAGGAGCCTCGAGGCGCTCTCGCGTCGAGCGAGCGGTATGTCTCTTATGCAAATATTCTCTCGTGTGCAACGACCTGTACAGCGCCGAGCGCAACAATGCCGTCGCAGTCGCACTTCGATACGACCGGCTATTTGTCGCGATCGCTTTCTCCACAAACAAAAGGCGAGCGGGTAAGGAAGCGCATACCGGGCCGATGTAATCCAATTAAAAAGCTCGTCCTCGCACGAGCGTTAATTTCACCGCCGCGACGATGGCGCGCCGTACACGGAGCTGTGCGGAAAAAACTTCACGTGTAACTTCGGATGTTTCTAGATTGCGTTCGCATTTCTTTCACGTTTCTTTTGGAAATTTTGCGTTCACATCGAGAGTGATATTAAGATATCTCTCTAACACGGGGAGAGAGAAGTGAAATAAGAATAACTAATTATATTAATCTAGGCTTATAACTCACGATCTTTTCTTAAATCAAACGAATAAGATATATTGATTTTTATAAAAAGATACTATTCATTAGGTATCCCAAAATAGCAATCGATGAAAACATCATTTTCAAGACCGAGTGCTTTCCGCACCACTCGGCGCTCCGGTGTTTTTTCCATGGAACACCAGCGGAAAATAGGGTTTCCCGACGCATAAAACACGATTTATGTCCCTCGAGGAAATTCGTTAATTATTCCGCGACACTTCAACCCGCTCTCACCGATTGCGCGCTGTTTACCGGCACATCTCAGCATCCCCACTTTAGTGTCTTCCGTAATTCCATTAAGTGTGCCGTCACGCAGAAATCTTGCCACGCTATTATCATTTTTCAAAGCAAGTTCCCCGAAGCTTAAACCTCTCGCTCCGACAATTAAGACGTTTATTTCCACCCGACGTCGACGCACGCGCGATCCTCCGTCTGTTTTTATTATTTCTAACACCGCTTCTCGAAAAGCGATTTTTATTGATTCTCGCGCTTATCCTTCGAATGCCCTCCTCCCGCTGACCGACGCGATTCACCTAATTTTGAAACGAAATTTGTTAGGTTTAACGATATCTTTCATGAAGGAACGACTTCTACGTTAAATGAACGGTTAAACAAGCGGCAATTTTGCTTCTATCGAAGACGGAGTCTGTTCGGGATTGATCGAAGAACAAGAATCCGTCGCCCGTTTGTTTTTCAAACGTCGCTTTCTCCCGAACGAGCAAGCTCCCCCGAAACTGGAGACTGTCGACGAGTGGTTAAAAATTAACGTCGATCGCTGCAGAACACGCGGAACACTATCTCATTTTCTCACCACACCTGCTCCGGGCATTTTCCATTCACGAGACGACGAATTTTTAAAAAAATTTTTTAAATTAAAAAAAAGTTACTTGTCAAACAACAAAACGGAAAGCGAACACGTCGTTTCCATCTTGACGTGCGCGCTTTCGACCCATTCTTCATTCTAGCTGAAAATATAGGACGATCGGGATTAGGTAAGCGATAGAGAAAGCCACAAAATTCCTTCCTTTCCTCGTTCGCGTCCCATTAGTGGTGCGGTCGAGCGAGAAAAGAACGGCAGAGATTAGACGCGTGGGTGCGACGCGGTGGAGAGAGGAAAAAGAGATAGATAGATAGATAGGGACAGAGAGAAGAGAGATCGATTAAAACGGACAAAAAGTGAGAATCGCGATGACGAGGCTGGCAAAAAAGACGTAGAAAAAGCGGCGACGCCAGCGCGACGAGGATGGCAGGAATGTTTTCTAAAACCGCGAAGAGCAAAACGACGAGCGGGAAGCCCATTGTTTCAGTTTCCGCGTCTTTTAGCTGCGCGACTTCACAATCCTCGTCTTCGTTTTCGCTCGGGCGAGATCTGCCAAGCCACAAAAGATCTCTCTTGCGAGAGGACTCTCCTGTTGTCTCTATCCCCCCCCCCCCTCTTTTCTCTCACGTCTCTCGATCCCCCGTCAATTCCCCGTGACCGTCTGCGCGCTTCTCTCTGTGGATGGCAGATTACTAGACAGCCGCGTTCACTCAGACAATGCACCGAGCCATCCGCGTCCGCGAAACGCGATGAAAATGTTACTGTTTCGTCGTACATCGTCGATCTTTGGGAGTCAAGTTGATACCTACACAGAGAAAGATTTCTTTGTATTTAATAAAATTTCCTTAACCGAAACAAATTTGTCCTTGGAATGAAACAAACAAACGAACGTTCGATTCAACAAATAGGATTGTTTCTCAAACAATAAATATCTTTACGTCAGTATTTCTCTCATATTTTCATCCAAACATTACAATGGTTGTCGCAAGTAATAAATTATCCGAAATAAATAACACTATGTTAGGAAAATATTAAAGAACTTTTTTGTGTACTTCAGTGGAACAATATTTACTATGTAATGAAACCAATTTTTCTTTTATTGAAATTAAATATTATAAATTCCCTCTAAATAATATTGTTTTCTCTATCAAGCAACAAAATGGTTTACTGTAATGAAATAACATTTTCATGCAAACAAAATAATATTTGATATTAAATTACGTTATTTATATTAAATAAATCGAAATCAAACACGTCTACTAAATCCAAAGAAACCTCTTTCCCTGTCTATGAATAGCTCGTGGCTGAAGTCTAAATCTTGTGATAATTAAATTCTCCCGATTTTTAATCCGGACTATAATTCATACGAATAACCACGACGTTGCCTGTCAAATCAAATATTTTTCCCAAGTATTTTCATTATCATCATCACTCCCACTCGGATAGTTTCTGATGCGCCAAGCCGTATAACAATTTCCATCGGGGAATCCCAGCTTAGAAACTATATAATGTAACTTCCACAATTATGAAAATTTGTTTAAATACTTTGATACGCGCAAAGTCGGGAGCGAATGAGCGAGCGGGCGCAAATACATTTCTCCGTACTCTTCGGGAAATTTCTTTGTAGTTAAAATTCTACGTTATCGCAAGTCAAAGTTAAAATACATCCTGGATGTAACTTCGCTCAGACATTGATGAAACGATAAGTGTGAACTTGGAAAACGCTGTCGCTTAACGTGCGCGAATGTAAACGAGCGTCGAGATGCAGCGTGAGGAAGAGGGTAGAATTGTACATTAATCGATCAACGGGAGGGGAGGGGAGTGCAAGGAGCCGAAACGGGCGGCATAAGCTGACTGTAATAGAACAAAGATTGCCAACGCGCGATTAGAGAACGCGGGGATTTCGCCACGGCCATTGCGATTCCGCCGCCATTAAACAGGATAACGGCAGCGGTCACCAAAATTGTCGCAAGACGACGTCAGCCAATTGACATCGTGCGTATCAAGAGGATGCAAACGTCGAGATCGTGCATACTGAGCGCTATTTCTTACGAAATTGACTAATAAATTTCTAATATTTCTGAATTCCTCCGAAATAATGTCATTTTTTTAACCACTGGATAATTCGAACCATTAACTTACGTTTATATATATCGCGATTAGATTATATATTAATTCAATATAATTGAGAGATTAAATATTAATGTTAGTTATTATAATATAATTATTAGGTAAACATCATTACATTACATAAACTTTCAATAATAATTCTAGCGCGTGTGCGAGCACAATGTAACGTAATATTCTCGGGCAGAGTTTGTCGGCAAAAATACGACCAATTGTGTGCAAACTAATTGCTCAAACTAATCGTTCTGTAGAAAACGAGTCGAACGAGATAATGAACGCATTCATGGATCGTATTTATTTACCGTAACGCTGCGGAAATACGACCTTCGGTTGGCTGTTCTCGCGAAGTTTATCGAGATGCTAATAAAAGTTCTTCGATTCGATCGCGATAAAGCTAAATAACAAACTTCTGCCGACGTAGCCGGCGAGAAGAGATCCAAGATTTTCGTTGAAGTTACTCGAAGAGAATCGCACAGAATGCATCGTAACGACGTTAAACTGGACCAGCCTGAATCTTCGTGAAGCCTCGCTTGGGTCTATTCCTTCCGAAGAGAACCAGTAAGTGCAGCTTGTGCAACAACTCCATTTCCTCAGCGAATAAACGTCGTGCGGACTTCCGCTCTTCGGAGCGTGAGCCTTTCACGAGCGTCGCATTAGGAACAGGTTAAGGTTAGAAGGAAAGGAGAAAAAAAGAGAAAGAGGGAGGGAGTGAGATGCTCCCTTCCTGGAACGATCGAGAAATTTCCCCCGAGGCATGTACCTGCGCGAAATCGGCAATAGCGATCCACTTGATAGCGTATAACGCGCCACGACGAGAGCTCTGATGTCATAAAGCCCAAAGGATTAGAAAAAAAAAAACAATCGAGTTCCATAACTCGTTACCTGTACATGTAATTTGCTTCGTACTTATGCACTTTTCCGGAAAGTGGTGTAAATATCATCACGAAAAATAGGTAATTTGATGGTTACACAGTGGAAAGTGTTGAAAGGTAACACAAATATTATGTCAACAATTGACACAAAATTAATATCCAAAATACGTTAATATAACATGTGTTATTTTAACACTTATAAATGTTGAATTGAATTGACTCAATAAAGTATATCGAATGAACATGTGAAAAATATACTGAGATAATATGTTAAAAATTTAACGGAAAAATTTTAACAAAGGCCGGATTTAACACAAAATGCTTTTCACTGTGTACGCGATCAAGGAGAGTCTCTCACGGCATTCAACGCGTCAGTACGAGGGTCGGAAAAACGAAGGACGAAATGATCGTGGTCGGTCATCATAGAAAGACAACATTGAATCGCTTCCCCGTGTGAGAAAGCCGAGGCCTCGAATTAAACGCGTCGCGCAGGCGGCCCGACAAATGACGAGGAGCGATTCGAAGAGCAAATTCAGATCGCTCGATACAAAGTGTCTCGACCTTGCGCGACAGACACGTGCCGTCTCGCGATCCTTGCATGCACGCTGTTCCAGAATTCTAGCGATGCGCGAGTCCCACCTCCCCAAAGTTCCCCGCATAGCGCGTGTCCGCAGTCTTTGCGAACTCGCCGACCTTTCGCCACGAGCGCGACCCTCCAGGGAGAAACTATTTCGCTAACGAGGGTCTCAGCCCGCTCTCTGTGCGCGGAGTAATTGGAATTCGTGCCGAAGCGTTTCGTCGAGAACTCGCGAGCGAGCGCGCGCGTTGATAACTGCGGTTGATATCCGAAGAGCGAGTTAGTACGTGCGGTTAACCCTTCTCGTCCCGCATCGAGATTCTTCAACGATGACTCTTTTTCCGCCCGTACGCGACGCAATAAACGCAAAACTCACGCGCGAATTCTCCACGCGGATCAATTGGCGCGGGATGTCCCCTCTTCTTCCCCGCCTCTGGCGCAGTGTTTTTCTCATTCGTAAAAATTATTCGTGAATAACAAGAATATGATATTTTTTGTGAAACTATATAGAATTTCTTCGTGTATATAAGCAAGTTTTACCTTCATACAAGATTAGATATATTCTTGTTTATATAGAGTGTCCCAAACTAATCTCGGTTCACTCGTTCTACTTGCACACTGCGTGAACCGAGGTTAGTTTGGGACACCCTGTATACAAGAATATGAATCTCGAATTGATGCTAACATTTCTCCGTTACCTTCTTTGAATATCGTGTTTATTTTAAATCACCGAATGTTTCTCGGATCGAAATATGGAAACCGTTTCGAATTTATTGGACGTTTATCTCGGAGGTACGAGGAAACGCGACTACAGTTACATGCCGCATGTTCGTATGCGCACTGGTAGGATAATGAATATTTACGCATTCGAGCAAAGGTTACATTCGTTCTCCTTGGCACCTAATCGTCTCTCGTCTCGACTCTCGATTGCTCACTGGAATGGTGCAAGTGCATCGTCGCATGCCAGAGCTTAATATGCGCTCAATTATGGCGCTTAACATGCATACATACGCACTTACCGTGTAGGCAATGGTGTTGATGGGCTGGGAGACGCGGCCGTGCTTCTTTTCCTGCACTGTCGAGCCATCCTTACTTTCGTTGTCAGAATCTGCGTGCGGGAAAGAAAGCAGAGAATTAGTTACATTTCACGACGACCGAGAAATGTGTTGATAAACACAGCGCCGCTGCTTATGCAACGCATGCGAATTTATCTCAGATAACCGCCGTGCGTAGATATCTTATCGTTATCCTCGATTTTATTTGTAAACTGTGCACTCGACGGTTTCACGAAACCTGAAGTTCAAGTTAATTCGACTTATCGCGTAATATTCATCCGAAAAGTGTTAAGAGGAAAGATACGATACAGATGGCTGCTTAAAACTATCTCAATTTTCGTCGAGAGTTGAGATAATTTTCAAATTATTGCGTAATAACAATTCATTATTGCCGAGAAGATAAAATCGTCCTACATAACGTCGAGTATTATGAATATAACGAGAATAAACGAAATTTGCTATTGCAAAACACGTACCAATAACACGGAAGGAATATATGATATTTTGTACGTAAAATCACATTTGTCTTCGACGAGAACACCGATCTTTATCGAATGTATTTACAAACGCCCATCGTCGATATCGATATGCGTTCGTCTGAGAGAGAGAGAAGCAGTAATTACTCAGACATACAAAAGAGATTAACGTCGATAATTAGTTGATCTCGCGTATCGCGCTGTTTTCATACACTTTTGTCTAATAAGCTCGTATGATATCAACGACCGGCTCGATGCATAAAGATTCGATAAAGACACTCTGTTACTGTTTTTTTCGAGAGCAAATCCATGTTTAGTGATTATACTTAAGATATAAAAAAGAACATAATGAAGACATTTTATATTTTTACGTTATATATTATCATTACGCGCGCGTTTTCCGCCAGTGAATTTCATTTATGTTCATTGGTTCACACCGACCTTGCTTCGATGGACATCATCACGCAAGACAATATATGGGAAGAGAATTGTTATCAATTCAAGACTCATATTCTTATATAAGCAAGAATATGTAATCTTACATGAAAATAAAACTTGCTTACATGAAAAAATTATAGCTCCACTAAAAATATCGTATTCTTGTTATTTAAGAATAATCTTCACGAATTGAGAGAAAAAAATATTGAACAGAAAGAATAATATCTTCAAACTAAGAATTATATCAATTTAAAAAAATCGTTCTTTCTATCCAATAATTCTTCTTCTCAGAATTCACGAAAATTATTCTTGAATGACAAGAATATTATTAGTGAAACTATACAGAATTTCTTCATGTAACCAAATTTTATCTTCATATAAAATGATATATTCTTATTTATATGTGAGAATATAGGTCTTAAATTGATACTAATTTTTTTCCGTGTAGTGATCTCTATCGCAATTCTCATACGTAATCATTACCAGCCGATAATATCACGAGAATATCATTCGTGCCGATCTCGCTCGCACTGTTTTGTTTTTTTTTTCACAGAAATATCGCGCGTCACATGATTGTTCGCGTATCGCACGATAATTATCTCCGCGCCGGACACTGGCGGGAAGCTAAGTAACGGCTTGAATTTAATTCCTGCGGTCCGCGTGCATTAGTCAGCCGATGCGCGAGCGACCGCCACACACCCTGCGTCCATTGGCAATGAGTGCATACAGGCGACGGTGCGGTGATAAACGAAGGAACAGCCACGTGACGCAAAAGTCATTACGGGGGAGGGGTGAGAGTCCACGCCGCTCTGGACAAACGCGGTTAATCACTGTCAATTTGAACATTCTTCGCCGGCGCCGGCGCGAGAGCACTTCTCTCTTTCAGAGAATATTCATAATAAAAGCGAAAAGAAGAATGACGTGGGGGAAACGACACTTTTATCGCGATACCGCATACATTACCTTTAGAATTTACATTATTATCTTGTGAAAAAAACTGGACAGAATCGATACTCCGCTTAATGAATAACTAAAAATAGCTTTATCGTTCAATTTAACATATCGCAGGATTTCCCCGACGTGCGTATCTGTAATAATCACTTTGGATATGACGATAAGACGACGAATAAAAGTGAAGTGTTAGTCGGAAACGAGTTCTAGCAATAGAGTTTTCAATTTGGAGGATCGCGGAGGAGGATCCTCCTGATTATTTATTGTCGGAAGGATACCGTTCGGCGTTTGTAATCGGACACGAGCCGACATTTAATATCGGCAATCTTTAGTGTTTACTTCTCACGCGATGATCCACATTTAATGCCGGTCCACATTTAATCACGGTCTTCGTCTCGCTTACATTTGAATTATTCACGCTTTGATAGCGTGAAAGCGTGTACGTGCGCATGAGTATCGATTATTCATCTTCGGAATCCATCGATTTCATCGGCTATTTAGCTGCTAATTAAAACTATCGATTGCGGCGTCAATCTTTCTTAAGGATGTATTATCATATATATATATTTTCAATGGCGCATCAAGGGGTCACTCGTAAATTTACTGTTTATCAAGCAAAGATTACGTTTCTATACATTTATTTCATTACCTAAGTAATAAATGTTAATTTAAAATGAAGTTGAAGTAGACAAATACGAAAGTATTATTTTTTATTTTTCTTATTAATGCTATTTTTATATATATTATTTGATCTGACAGATATTCGAACAATAGAAAGAGATATATACGTACTTAAGTATGTGCATATATATATATTTCGAATATTAATATAAATTATAAACTTTACTATTGCATTCTCAAAACAAGATAATTTTGAAGTTTGCGTATAATGTCCGCGTATCAGTCTTTAATACCGCAGTAATTTTTCATAAAAATCTTATTTTTAGTTTAGAAGATATTAAAAATAGAAATTGAATATAGCACGCTAATATCTTAAGGAACACGTGTCAAGTGTTAACTTTAGTTACAAATATCTCCGTTCACGAATCTTTTTTTAACTGCATGAGCACTGAGTTAGATAATATTTCAATGTATACGCGGTACAAATTTTATCGTATCTTTATCAAGTTTATTTCACCTTGCAACTTCCTTCAAAGCGGAACAACTTTTAATCCAGGCTCTGAATTATTGTCAAACTTTCAGTGCCACTTTCAAGCGCAACATGGATCAATTTGTAACTTTTTCACAGTTTTTTCATTATTTAGGGCAATATATCCTTAACCGAGGTGTGGGGAGCCTCGAGGATTCCACGGGAGACATTGTTACTTCGGAAAATAGACTCCGGCATCTTGCGAGCGCGTGACTACTATAATTATTACTATTAAAAGCGCCGATGTCAGATTCTTCGTATATCATAACTGAACCAGCCGCACTTCCTATTGTTCTCTCCGTGCCGAGTCGGCCGAGGAGTACAGATAAATTTTTCTCTATTGTTGCGCGAACGAGCGTGACGGGAGTAACGAGGAGTCGTCGCGAAGAGAGCCTGAAAGGTTTGTTTTCCTTCCGTGACCTTCGATAAACGATTCCGACACTTTGCTCGATTCCCGCCATTGCGTAATAAATCATCGGGATGAAGCGCCGTTATTCCGGGTCGCGACGACGCAGCGTGGCGCCGTCGAGAGCACGTGTAAACCTAACTTTTACGAATTTGCATACTCCGCCACCTCGCAGATGACGCGAGCGTAATTCCCCGATTCACCTCCGTCTGGCGAATACCCCTCGGAACGAAAATGTCGCGATTAATTCCCCGAAAATTCCCGTTCCGCGAAGAAGCACAAGCCGGATTTCCTTCCTTCTCGAAATGATGAAGACGATAAAAAAGGAGATAAAATCTCCCCATCTTGCGCAATGCGAGGAGGAAGTTACGACGCGCCGGCGTAAATCGCGAATAACTCGCCCGGCGCAAAACAAACCATTCGACCTACACGTCTGAGAATTTAGAAAAAGACACGCAAAGAGCGAAAGCCGCGTGGAGGACCGCTTTCGAGACAGCTCAAGTTCAAGCTAAGGAAACAGACCGACGAAAACACCGCCGTCGCGCTCGTTTCTCGCGAGCGTCTTGCCTCGCGTCTTTCTTCCCAATACCTGTGCTCGAGGCGTGCTGTAAGCCGCTTAGGAAGAGCCGCGAGTCTGCCTGCGCCACGTAATACACGACGTAGTCGCGAAATTCCTTTTCGTAGATGTGGATGTTGGTCGGCTCGTAGTCCGCGTACTCGTCCGCGTAGTCCCACTGCGAGCCCATCATGACCGAAACGTCAAATTCCATCGTCGACATCTGCGAGTCGGAGGAATATCGTCGTGTGTCTCTTTCTTTCTCACCTGTTTATTTTTTTCAGAATCGCCGGAAGGAAAACCGTTCGAAATTCGTCCTCGGATTCGCGCCCGATATCCCACGTGTATCCGTCGACCACTATCGCCGGAATGACGCGTCACCGTGCTCTGTTTCCGTTGCGGACAGGTGTCAATCGTCAGAGCCAATTGCGCGCGCGGTACCCCTAATAGCGAGTTTACACGAAAATCGGCGAGTCCGATTACTAATTCGCGCCTCGCGAATGCAAAATTGGTCGCGCCAACAATTCCACATATCTCGCGTAAACGTGAGAATCGCGTGCGAGGAATAAGCGATTGGCGCAAATTGTTCGTTCCAAATGGTGTTTCGCAAAGTGTCAAGTCAAATACAACGTGTGTGTGTGTGTGTGTGTGAAATATGCGTCGCGCAAATTACAGCTCCGTATCGCCCTACTAGCGGCGAATTACTTCGTCTTAAATAACGTCGGACGAATCCGACGATAAATCTACTCTTTAACGCCTCTCCCTTTATTTCTTTCCGCTCGTTGGACTCTATCGTGATCTTGCCCGCAACTTGGTGATTCATGCGAACTGACAGTCGACATTACAGACGTCCCACGCAGCGAGCGAGCGCGGCGACCGATAACGTTCCGCAAACTGGAAACTCACTGCGAAATATCGCGATCCGACGACGATTCTTTATCGCAGCAGACCGATGACAACGGCGGAATACGAATCCCGCATTAATCCTGCGTGCAAACCGACGAGCTCTTCGTCGACGAGAGCGAGGCGAGCGACTGAAACTGCCGTCGAGGCGTCTCTCGCGCGATCACGTGAGC